GAAAGATGAATGCAACAGAACAAGAATATACAAGCACTTTACCTCAATAAATCCTTCACAATCTGGTACCACAGTTTCCTCTCCTGCCAACACCCCACACAAAATCTAACTGCTTTAATAACGCTGGTCTGTACCTAGCTCTCTAGCCAGGTTTCTCACACTTGGCACTGAAGACATTATAATCCATTCATTTCCTGTTGTGAGCAGCTGTACTACACACTGTACTGCCATGTTCAGCAGCATCCTTAAACCCTACCTGTTATGTATCAGGAGACCTCAGTTACCTTCCACTCATGACAATCAAAACTGACTCCAGACACTACCAACTGTCTCCTTAGGAGGAAAAGCACAAAATCACCTTCAGCTGAAAGCAACTGCTCTATGCCCTTGTCAATATCACTCCATTTATCTCTGCAGAAAATTTCTACCCATTTTTCAAGACCCATCATAAATGTTTTTACCTCCAACATGAAGTTTTCTCCTTAAGTTAAGTCATTCCTTCCTCTTACGACCTTTCTCCTTCCTAGTTTCCTGTGTTCTATATCTCATTACTGAGCTTTTATTGATTTCAAGCATTCAACAAAGGCTTCACAATAAATGAATATAAGCCGTTCCTAAATGCATTCATGTGACATCCCTCCCATTACCAAGGGAAAATCTGGTTCACTGAATGTCTCACAACAAATAATACAGCACCCTTAACCTTCTTTGTTTGCCTTTGATCTTCGGAAGCTGAAATTAAATGACACTGGGTTTTAGTAACCAAAAGTTCTTTCATATCAAGGTCTTTGACACTCTAGAAAAATAGACCAAAAATGTTACAACATGAAGACTGTATTTCTAGAATAAAAATGAACACAACAGTAATTTGTGATTTCAATTCTCTGTTACCTCAGTATCTCTCCAGTTAGTTCAAGAGATATCATAAATGTAGAAAAATGTAACAAAGAAAAATGTAACCTAATTTGTGTACACATACATTATATATTTCAATGAAATGTGTATTAACCAACACATTTTGGGAGGAAGATGAAGAACTAGGAATCAGGAAATATTAATAAACAACAAAATAACAGAATGTCAAACTGCAGAAAGGCTGAAAATTAGTGACAAGAGGAAACCTCCTGAATGTTGCGTGCCTGCAGGCTCATCTTCCATACAGGCATCTTTTATATCCTTGGGTATCCATATTATTTCTCAAATCTTAGAACTGGTCTGTATTGGTACAGCTTTAAAAATAATCTCAACAATGTCAATTTCTAAGTATTGGCCTCACATTTCTATTAAAATTAATCTTATTTAACAGTTTTTCCCCCAAAAGCTGAAGGTATTAATTTACTCCCTGTTGTCAATTCATAAAGCAAGGCGATTAATTAATCAGAAAAGGAGCATCCACCTATACTGGTCTGAGAAACTTCAGAGAATAAATATGCAAATGCAGTATCCTCAAGGCTGACAAGTTTCTATTATTAAACTGCTAACGCGTTTATTTTCCCCACAATAGCTGGATTTTTGTCATGAATGCGCATTAAGCCTGTAGTTATTAGCGGTGATAACTAGGTGACAGTGAGGACACTACTTAAGAATTTGTATTTGACAGATCACTGACACACAGAGTTTCTTTTTTTCTCTCCTCACTTAAACAGGAATGATGAACGGGAAATGAACAGGAGCTATTAGAGATTATTCAGGTTTAATAGCACATATCCTCTTAGCTGGCTGTGAAAACAATACACAATGTGGCAGAGTTAAACAGAGGCATCAATTATACTCTCAGACCTGTTAATATTTTTGACAATATTTAAACAGCACATCCTTTCAGGGCATGGCTTTTTTGCCCTCTCAGTTACACACCTGTCAAGCGTTTAATTTGCCAAAGGGAAACAGTTTGATTTCTAAGGGTAGTCTTAATACTGAAGAAGCAAACTGCAAAAATTAAAACATTATTGAATATGAGAAGGATCTGAGGGAAAAAATTGTAGACTTAATTCGACATGGCATGTCAGCATCTGTCATTAAGAAACAATATGATCATGCGCTCTAATATGCTGTATATACCATAGGCATTTCAATTATGCACTCCCTCTGCTTCTCTAGAAGAAGGGAAAGTGATGGAGAGGAAGAAAGGGAGAAGTCAAATTTTCTAGTGATGGTAAAAAAACATGGAAACAGCTTGCATCTGTTTAAAATTATTTATTTGAAAACATAACTCAGGTATGAGGTATCCAATAAAGGCTAGCCAATACTAAGATTTGTGTCATTACTGCTTTAAAAGTGTAAAACAAATTGTGTTCCTTAGGTGCATTATTAAGTTATAAATATTAGATTAGCAGTTGGTAAATCTAAAATGACAAAGTTAAGCATATTTTATTTAAATTTTAAAATAGAAAATAATTCAGCTTTTGAAATTTTATTCTAGTCTTAAGAAAAAATAAGCTAATAACCAGAATTAAATTAATAAAGAATGGAGACTGGAGTGGAAAAAAAATCACAGAAATTCTGAGAATTTATCAACATGAAACTCTTCACTCCATCAATCAAGTTTCTACCTTGGAAACAAAAACAAGACATAAGACAGGCCACAGAGCCAAACTCGGGAAAGGATGGCACCAAGAAACCCTAGGCTGGCTCTACCCTTATAAACAACAAGCCACTTAACACATTTGAACCACTGGTAGTAGTATCAGGCTCTGAACTATGTTTTCCTTGGTCCATTTGAGTTAGTTTTCTCCCCTATAAGAAAAGGGACTAAGGAGACAAAAGTTCAAAGACACTTAAGAAATGCCAACAGAATTTACAGACCTCAAAATTTAGTGTGGAAATATATCATTATTCAAACAGTATCATACTATGCTAATCACAGAATAGGAAGTTTCATGATTACGCATAATGGATTTGCTAGTAGGCTGAATTCATCTGAGTCATGTAGGACGCAAGTACCATTAAATCCCCAAATTATGAACATTCAAGTTACAAACTAAAATATATAAAGGGATTTTCCATTACAAACATTCGTAAATGAGAACAAATCATGGAATCAGCTCACTCTGTCTACGTTATCACTTTGATGATTGTAAAAAACAGTTTACAGTGGATCCTTGACTTACAAACTTGAACAGCTCCCGAGGGCTGGTTGTAACTCAAGTTGGTTGTAAGTCAATACAGCTGAAATCTGAAGTTTACCTGGGTACAAACTATAAGTTAACAAGAGGCAGATAAAACTTCCATTAACCTAATTAATCCAAGTTGTTCACATGTCAGGCCGGTCATAAATTGAGGGTCTACTGTATTTATTGTTGTACTGTACTGGACTGGACTACAATTTTAAGGTAATTGTAAAAGTAAAAATAACTTATTTACAGTATTTTTATGTGTTTGATTTTTTAATGCTTTACACTGCATATTTGTGTCAAAGGTGTAAGACTCACTTTGTGGGATTTACAAATGAATCCGATGATTTATGAACATTCTCCCAGAATTGACCTCAGTCATAAGGCAGGGACTTACTGTATTGGAAATATAAAGCAAACTCAACAAGTAGCTATCTTTGTTCCTCTGCTTTGTTAAACACAGTAGACAGAAAGACTCCTGCAAAGTCTGACTCCCTGGAATGGTCAAGAGTACTCCCTGGACTAGTAGTAGAGATGGAAGCAGTATCTGCCAGTACTCTTGTTCCCACTCTCCTCTCGTTCTACTCATATTTTCACTCAATACCATAAGCAAGAGCACATCTGTTTAACTTCTTTACAATCTAAAAGAAACGAGATAATTTCCTATGTCACTTACATTCAGAGTACTAGTTTTTCCAAAAGCTTACGAATCCATTCTGAAAACCAGTCTTTTTGGTAACTTGCAAAAGGGATAAACGCAACCCAAGTACATAGAAAAAAAACTCTATAAATTCATGATCGCTACTTTCAAACTCCAAACAGCAATTCACTATAGAGAAATATTTTTGAAAATTCTTAATTTACTTTTCTTGGGGGTAGGTCAAAAGGCTAGAGAAATACACATCCAGATTAGGGTGTTACATAACATTAAATAAATTCCTCCTGTAATACTTCTATTTCTTCTTTTGTATTTGGCACAGTTTTAGTTTCTAATTGGAGCGGTTCTTTCATTGAATTATGAAATTATTCTTCAAGTCTCATTTTTAACCTTTAAAGTGATATTTGCTAACAAGTCATCCATAACCATTAATTAAGTTAATGTTAAAAACATGAGAATGAGTGCTGACATGAAGGCATAATTAGACTGATTTCAAACCTTGTGACGACAGATCTACTTTAAAAAGATTTTTTTAAAACCTGAGGAATGGTGATTAAATTAAATTAAAAGAATGTTTGACTTTGGTTTCATTCTGTTATTGGGATATATTTCAATTTTAAAGTAAGTGCTCAAACTTTTTAATGTTCATAATTTTTGCAGAAAAAAAACTGTTACATTTAGAAGTTCTAATGTTTATCACCATCTGATGCTGTCATGGAAGCAATCATTGCTACTTACACTCTTAAGAAGTGAGAACTGCAATTCCTCTAACTGATGACAATGTAATTATTTCTATTACTGTCAAAATAGAGGCAATTTCCCTTCCTTACACACCTGATTACACATGCAAATCCAGCCTTATCTGAAATCTTGTAAGTACACTAAATGTCTGAATCTGAATGAGCAAGATCACATGAACAATGAGCCTAGTGATGATGGAAACCAAGCCCACAGCCATGCACCCTGAGCATATTTTTATCATCCTGTCTCCTGCAGGAATTCATTCCTCCACATCCACACAGCTTTCAACACAGTGTCATATCATCTACAATACACAGCAACAATCCTTACAAAAATAACTGGAGGAAAAAAGTAACAGTGAATCTGAATGTCGTGTTTAGAGATTTAAATGACTTCATTGACACATACAAAAATCAGCCTTCAGAAAAACACCAGCCTTTCACAAGATGTAGCCCAGGTTGAAAATGCAAGCTTAACCAGGAATGTCCTACCTGGTCTTTCAGCTGCTGCACTGAGGCCTGTAGGTTCAGAATCTGACTGAAGAGAGGGCTCTGCAGCACTGACTTCAGAAGGCTTAGTTTATCTTCGTTTGCTACATCCCCACGTTCTCGGAGCTTGGCTTGCAAGCGTTCTGTGGCCTGTAGGGCCCGATTTTTATCTATTCCAAAGAACAGTATTAGTTATAACAGGATTCAAAACACACAAGTCAAACCTATGAGGGCCCCATGATGTAGAAATCCTAAAACTGTTCCTTTTGAGTACATAAAATTGTTCTTTTTACTTGAATAAAAGTACAAAAAATTTTAATGGAGTACAACAGTATAAGAGGTAGAAGATTGAGTACTTTAAACATTTTTTCCTCAAAATTAAATAGTATTAGGGTTTGTATCTAGATGTCCCCCTAAAGCCTCATGCAGTCATAGATGGGGCTGGATCCACAGCATGTGACTGATTCACTAGGCAATGATAGGATTAATGGTGCTAGGATCAGGGGTACACGTGCTATCTACCTGAAGGGCAGTATCCAGATACAGTATAAGCAACACAAAGAGGCTTGCTGGTAGCTGCTTTTGCTTGTTGCTTCTGTGTCATTTGCTTGTTTTTGACATCTTCTGCCTGCCATGAACTATTTCTCCTGTGCCATGCCACTCTGCCTTGGAGCCAGCTGATTATGGGCTGAAAACTCTACAAACTGTGAGCCAAATAAACCTTTCCTCTTTTAACTTTGAGGGCTGAGTATTTTGTCTCAGCAATGAGAAAAGTAACTATGACATATAATATATATACATATGCTTTCAATCAGTCTAATTGGTGGATTCGTGTGGAGAAAAAAGGGGAGGACTATAACACATTTCAGTAAATGCGTCCCTCAAACTTGGAAGTATTGTTGTTTAAAAGCAGAGAAATGGGTGTAATGTATGAAATATATATAAATATTCAATTTAATTTTGGGGAAAGATAGTTCTATGAATAAAATGTAATGGTTTCGAAAGTACATGTATTATTCTGATGTGTTTCTAAATAAATTCAAAATTATAGAATGGTTTGCTCCTTAACATATAAAATTGTTATATTTTGGATATTGTGATTCAATGGCAATATCCATATCCACTTATTAGTGAGATAGAGTTCTAATTTTTCTTACATATAAATAACAATATACATACCTTTTTAAGAAGGGAATATATCAGTTGTTTGTAAAATCACAAAATAATCCAGATGATATATACTTTAATTTCAATGCCAAACGTTTCAACTTTTATTAAAATTATATAAAACCAAATGAATTGTAATCATGAAAATGCTGAATCACAATTTCCAAACTATAACAATTTTATATATTATGGAGCAAAACATTCTATAATTGAGCATTTATACAGAAATATATCAGAATAATATATTTTCTTTCAAAACCATTAGAGTATATTTATGGAAATGTTTCCCCAAAATTAAATAAGATATTGATATATTTCAAAGTAATATAATTCAAATAATTATTAAGTACCTTATATATCACAGTTACAATAATAAATTTTTTAAAATGTCCTAAAAGTCCTAATATCTGACTTGCATATTTCCTGCAATCATTACCAAACATAAATATCCAGATCTCCAAAGCTGAAATAGGGTAACTGAAATAATCAATTTATTATAAATTCACATATACAAATTAAAATGAACAGTATTTGCCCATGCAAAAATTTTAAAGCAAGATACACATAAGAATTTTCTTCTGGGTTATATTTCTCATGATAGTTCAGAATATAAATCTATTATTAATTTTCATGTTAATTCTTAGAAGATATAAAACTCAGTAATAGCTAATAGAATAAAAGAAATGGTTGAAATCAATCTGTATTTCTTCTTTCCATTCTCTTATGAGGAACTTCCCTGTGTGGGTTAGCAGTCTTAATGATGTCTGTCTTTAGCAGACAGTGATACAGGAATGTACAACCATGTGTTTTTATGATCAGCATAGAGCCAGGTACAAAAGTCACAAGATTACAAAAACCCTCCTTTTCCCTTTCCTGCCACCTACTCTTCCTTTACCCATCATAACCTGCCAAGGAAGCAAGCATAGTTTTCAAGGTGAAAGAGTAAAAGCAAAGACCCACTCCAATTTGCATTTCCAAAAATCTACCTGGAAGAGACAAGAGATTGAGCCATCAGATGAATGCAGGTATATATCACACCCAATTACACCTGTAAATAGTTTTTAAAGCTAGTTTCTCTAAAACTAAAAAAATAGTTCAAAAAAGCAATTAACATATGAGCTTGAGATATATGGGTATTTCAACCTAAATTATGGTTGGATATTTCAACCCAAATTCATGTAGAAATTAATGTGCCTTAAATGACATTTCCCAGCCTAAGTGCTTATCACTGAACTCTTTTATTAATTAAAAGCAAGAGTTCAGTAGTATTTCACATGCCACAAATTCAAGAAAAAGGGATGATCTTTCAGTATCAAAAATATTATTAATCTCTCTGGTGTCATCCAGAAAAATACATTAGCAGGAACTGAGTTCAACAATTAGAATGGGTATACATTAAATTTATGAAAACCTATAACTGAAGCACATCTCATGTTTGTTTTTGCTTACAGAGGATGTTTTTTATAATAAAAAAAAATTGTCAAAGTACAGAAATGCATTACCATAGTAAAATGCTCAGAGTTAAAACTTTACGTTATTATAGGAAGAGTCCTTCTGTGCAAAACACATTATATTCAGCTATCCCAATGGAAGGAGTTTCAATTCTCACAAAAGTAGAAAGGAGTATGACTTACCTATGGTTTCCAACATTTTTTTCAAAGTTCAGTGTTTTCCTCTATAATGATTAAAAACAACTAAAATAAAACCCTGGGGAGACAAGAAATAAAAATGAAAAAATTATGTATTATCAGCACTTTACAACTGTACTCTAAAACTGTCCTACAAAGTATCTGATACCACTTTAATTCCTCTAAGCATTAAAATCCTATTGGTTGAACATTGTTCTCTTTATAGGCAAAAAGTGAACATTTTATAATTTATTTGAAGTGATATGCACTCCCAGTAATATTTACAAAGAAAGCATAAATTATGTTTTAAATAAGATGATAGATTTTTTCCAAAAGACTTCCTTAAGAACCTTTCAACATAAAACATTGTGATCTCAGATTAATGTAAAGATCCTTAACCACAGAGTAAAGAGCTTACTTGAATGTGCATAAGAAATGTGAGGGGAAAAGGTTACAAAGAAGACACCTTGCCCCCAAATGTTCAGTCTTAACTGGGGAAACAATATACATACACTCATTAGAAATGAACAGTGACACTAAGTCAGGATATTGACCACTGGAAGATAATACCTTAAATCGTGGATTAAAAATGGAATGAAAGAAAGTATAGTGTTAAACTTTTCAAAGGTCTTAAAAATACCTTCCCACTGATAATATTCTCCTTCCCATTCAAAAAAGAAAAACTCAATTTCTTCAACCCACACAGATCTCATTTTTCTTTTCTTTTTGGTACTGGGGATCGAACTCAGGTCCTTGCACTTGTGAGGCAGGTGCTGGAACCACTGACCTAAATCCCCAGCCCCTAGATCTCATTTTTCATTAACAATGTTTAATTAGATTCTTTGCACACAGATCTGCACTGCCAAAGTCCACATCCCTGTCCATCTTCAATCTGTGCCAGCCAACAACTCTGCACAACTGTCTCATGGCTACATCTACGTTTGCCTCACAGAAAATCCTGAAGTCTTGAGGAAGTCAACGGGTCATTCTTCCAGTGAAAAACAGGAATCTATCACCATACCATCTCATTCCTCATCTAAAAGATCAGACAGGTAATTTCTTGGAGAAAGAAACAGGTTGCCCCAGCCCTCTCGAAGGGAAAGTACATATGGCGTAAAAGGAAGTGCGAGATGTGGATGAGCAGATGCATGGAACACCAATGCCTATGATCTGCTCTCTACAATAAAAGAACAGTACTTACTGACTTTCCTTATCCCAATTTAGAACACACTACTGGAAACCAACCCCATCCAGTCCAATAGTTCAACTGCTGGTACATGATTTAAAAAGTGCCCTGGTTTCAAGAAAAGAGGACACTGTCTGACTTCCCACACACTAAATAGCAGTGTGACCATGAGCAAGGGGCCAATCATATCAAGGGCATTTCCCTAGAAAACATTCATCAGGAATGTTGTGATAAATAAAAGAGAAATAAAGTACACCAATTTACAGCTCACAGAACACCTCATAACTATAAAATATATATTGAAGATTACTGCTTAGTCCATTTAGATAGGCATCATGATACAGAATGCAGGCAGATCTAAAAAATAAACTGACAATATTTTAATTACTATTTATTTTTAAAAAATAATTTTATGGTACATTTAGGGAATATTATATAACATTCATCATTGGAAATCTGCACCTTTACATAATCCATATTGGTTCTTATTTTTCCCCATTCCCCTTTACAAAGAAAATATAATATTACATATAATAGCATAGTGGTGGCACATATCCATAATTCCAGCACTCTGCAAGGCTGAAGCAGGAGGGTCACATGAGTGCCACGACCCTGACCATCTTGTTCCCCATAGTATTTTTCTAGTGCCACATGTAGCATTCTTTCCATTCTCTTGGTAAGACTACAGAGGAAAGTTTAAAATCCTACTCAAAGTCACCAAGTAGTAAGTAGCAGAAACTGGAACTTGAAATAAACCATGCCCAATTTTAAAGACCATACTCTTCACACTACTTCTTATTTTCCAGATACTCTTGTCAAAAAAAAAAAAGTCACATGGCCAAAATATATATTGTCAAATTTGAAAAATAAGGTGCAAGACAATGTTTGAATTTGCTACTACTTGTATAAAATAGGAGAAAATACTTGTGCAAGTAAAAATTAATTGGCATATGTTTATAAAGCCTAAGAAATACATGTTAACAAACTATTTCTGCAAATTTTCAGGCACTAAGTGAATGAGATGTGACACAGCCAGAGAACACTGACATTTATTTTTCATTGCATTTTCATCATATCTTAACATAGGCTAGCCATATTTGGTAAATAAAATATGTTGTCTAAATTTGATTTTGAGATAAATGAATAATTTTTAATGTAAGTCCCCAACGAGTTATATTAAAATTTAATTTGTTATTTATCTGATTCAAGTTTATGGTGGCATTATTTGTTATTTTATCTGGCAACCTTATCATATGTTTAGCTAGAAAGTTATATTTTAAAAATAATTTGTAATTTAAGGCATGGGTACCCCTGTCACCATGACAGAGTTGCCAAATCCTTACTAAACCATTAAAGATTTTTTCCCATACCACAGGCTCCCCAACGATGGGGTAATAATCCTAGATTCAGCAAGAGATAAAAAGCAAACAGTATTTGGTGTTACTAAGAAACAGTGATCATCTTACTTTCCAAAAAGTTCTACTGTATGTAGATATGGAATCAGAGCTTGAAACAACACAAATCATTTGTCTCAATGCAGATTTCATAGTAGCTAACAAAGGAGCCAACCATTCTCACTGGAGGAAACATAGCCTCTTTAATAAATGGTGTTGGAAAAACTGGATTTCAACTTGTCAAAGATTAAAACTAGACCCTACCTTTCACTATGAACAAAAACTAAACCCACGTGGATGAAAGATCTAAATATTAAAACAGAAACACTAAACTTGTTAGGAGATAAGTTAGGTAGAACTCTCGATGATACTGGCACAGGAAAAGACTTTATGAAGTAGCACTGGAACTAGAACAAAGAATCAATAATTGGGATCTCATCTTTTTAAAAAGCTTCTGCACTGAAAGAGAAATCACCAACAGTGCTGAGACAACCTACAATGTGGAAAAAAATTTACCAGCTGTTCCTCAGACAGAGGTCTATTATCTAGAATATATAATATACTCAAAAAACAGAACCCCCCCCAAACATAAACACCCAATTTAAAAATGGGCATCTGAAATGAACAGACATTTCTCAGACAAAGAAGTAAAAGCAGCAATAACATATGAAAAAATGTTCAACATCACTGGTCATTTGAGATATGCAGATGAAAACTACTGAGATTCTTCTACCTCACCCCAGTAAGAATGGCTGCTATGGTGAAATCACCCAATAACAAAAGCTGGTAGGATTATGGGGAGAAAGGAACCCTTCTTCATTGTTGGTGGGAATGCAGACTGGTGCAACCACTGTGGAAATCATTATGGAGATACCTCAAATAATTAGGATTATAGTCTCATTTGACCCAGCTATTCCTCTGATGGGTATCTTCCCAAAAGAATTAAAAGAATCATACCACAGTGATATAGGCGCACCCATGTTTACAGTGGCACAGCCTGTAATAGGTAAAACATGGAAACAGCCCAACTGACCATCAACTGGAGACTGGATAAAGATTTTTTTTTTTTTACAAAATGGAGTACTTCTCAGGCATAAAGAATGAGAAACTAGAGTGATTTATAGCTAGGTGGATGCATACTGAGGCCATACAATTAAGTGAAATTAAGAAGTTACACGTGTAAATACCCAATAGGTTTTCTGGTGTGAAAAAGTAAAAAAAGTGTAAATAAGGATCAAAATGTACAACTGATACTGTGTAAAAGTAATAAAAGTTCTAAAAGAGTAGAAGTGGGAGGAGTAGGGGAAAGGTAAAAAGGGAAAAGAAAAAATATGAGAAAAGGAAAAACATGGAAACAATGTCTTTATACACAGGAAAGGGTGGAGGGTTTGAAGGGAGAGCTGGGAATGAGACAAAATAAGAACCAAGATACATCATGTAAAGGTATAAGATCCCAATGATAAATGTAACTAAAATGTACCAATAAATTAAAAAAAAAAAACCCTGTAGGAAAAAAAATGCCTCAAAGCACACATAACTTCCTAGCTATTCTAAACAATGCTGATAGAAAAGCAATCCATTAAAGGAGCTTGTTGCAAAGGCTTGTGGCTTTTCAAAGTTGTTCAGCATCTGCTATTGCATTTAAATTTAGCATCTGTCTCATTCATCACTGCCTCAGCACCACCTGAAGTGAGCACAAAAAGTGAGATTGCAGTCATATGCAGAAAGTTTGTCTAAATTGAATTGCTTATGACAGCATATTTACAGGTAGTAAACTGCCTAAATTCCATAGCTTATGATAGTATATTTGCACTTTTCATCATAATACAAACTTTCGTATAGCATTATGGATCCACTGCTCCAAGAGCAAAAAAAAAAATTCTCAGGATCCACCAACATCATGTAGGCATCCAGCAGAAAACATTGTTTTTTTTATCATCTGTTCTTTTGAAATTCTTCTTTTATTTTTATAAGCTTTGATCAAAAAAGTAGTCCTGAAAACAATTTTTATTTTCAAGTTCACTTTTATAAATCTCCTCGAAATTCCTTCAAGGCTGATAGAATTTGTCTTTTTCTCCAAAATTAAAGAATATTGGGTATCAGGAAGTTCAACTTTACAACATACTTCAAATAGTGATAGATTTTTAATTGATATTATTATCCTATCTTTATAAACCATAAAATACTTGTCCAAAGTGAAAGTACTGACAGGGTTAGAAGAGAACTTAAATTCTGTTACTTATTGATTGATTCAACAAATGCACACAGAGTGCATACATGACTGGTGGCCAAATTAGATAAATATTCAGTCTGAAAACGAAATTTCCAGAAAATGTAAATGGATGAAGAAAAAGAACTAAATGTAATTAAAATACAAAAACCACAAAGAGGAACCCTGAGGCCAAAATGAGGAGTTAGGGAAAACTTCCTGTAATCAGAGACACCTGAATAGGCAGGGAGGCGTTA